ATATACTGAGAAAAAATGTTCCAAATAAGACTATTGAAAAATGTATGTTGTTAACTTTTTTATTTGAATAGCTAAGATTATCATTTATCGGATTTACATGTCCTAACACTGACCAAAGGTGTAATCAAACTGGTTTCAACGCAATGATCCGATGATCCCACCTTGTGTCCACCGTAGGGAACGTGTTACAGTATCGCGTTTTTCGGTTACAGTATAGAATTTTCAAGATGGAGGATTATTTATGGGAAGAGAGGTAGGTGATTTTTATCCAGGTCCATACTACTAGTAGTGTAGTTTCTAAAAGATGTTTTTGTTCTTTGCTTGTAAGGAACAGAATCCGGTATCTAGTCATATATTTCTTCAGACCCTACACCGCAGATTTATCTATATATTGTCTCATAAATATGCAGATTTGATGGTTTAAAAATTTGAATCGAGAGACCAACGCATTTTTCTCAAATATCGACATTATTTAAGCATGCCTAGATATAGTAAATCTATAGAACGTTAGTCCTTTATGTTAGGAAACGTTTATAAAAGTAAGTGACCAGTTGAACCTTTTTTTCTGTTGGTAAAATGCGTTTAAAAAAAAAACAATGTTACAGTATAGAGCGAGGTTAATTTTGAAGGGTTACAGCATAGACCTAGCGACTTTGATCCAATTTTGTTACAGTTTATACCCAGCTTTATGTTACAGTTTAGATACTTGCCAAATTTCAAACAAAGATCGTGTATCCATTATTTTTATGAAATAACTCATAACTTTCTATTTAATACATTCTTAAAAGGTTGTATTACTTTTTTTTATTCAGCAGAAAAGTTATAGTTTGCTATTTTTCTTACTTTAAGTTTCAGATTGAGACTTTTTGCAGAATAAGTAATGTCCTAATTAAGTAAGGACTGTTTTCACGACAACAACAGTAACTTTTATCGAATTGTAATGAGAGAAGAGAGATTATTGCTTGATTTCATTACACATTATAACAATGCCTATTAGTAATCAAATAGAGAAAAAAGAATCCTTAACATAAGTCCAACACGGAAAACATGAAAATGTTGCAGGCTCAGGTTGACTAAACCTGTTCATGGACGGTAGTGGTAACTGCAAGCTACCGTTCACGCCTCCTAGCACCGGCTTCAGCAGAATTCACATTAAACATGAACTGGTACTGAACTGGTACACTTCAGATTTGTTAACATCTGTGGATGTGTTCATATGGCGGTTATCATGGAACCTTCAATGTGACACGTTATTGCCATTCTATGAAAAGCTGCATATTACCCCCCAGGTTTAAAAATTGCGTGTGCACAATGAGTGAAACTAAACAATATGAAATTTTGAGAGGGGATCGGAGGTTATGAAGCCTGCATACCATAGATAAGCTGTCAAAAGACACAATTAACAATCAGGCAATACCCTAAGAATGATTAAACAGTATTTAAGTGAGCAATTCTGCAACTTTAAATTCTATTTTAAGTTGGAATTTCAATCTACCATAATGTATTTTGTAAGTATTTAAAAGGGTTTATGAACATTTTCAATTTTGTTGTGTTGGAATTTCTTAAGGGATTCTGTTTAACTCTATTTTGTTGCGTTTGGCTTTCTTGATCTTAAGTTTCAACGACACTGAGGTCATGTGAAAACATTCCTGTTTTAGTGTAAAGAAAGACCCAAGATACCCTTTGTGAAACATTTCAGACACGAGCGCCTGACTAGAGCCACCGACCTTCCGTAAATTAGTTTGATGGATTCCTCACATACAAAGAATCCAATCATGATTGGATTTCAACCACAACAATAAAGGAAAAGATGATTTGAAGTCGACGGCCTTATCCCGACTCGTCACTATTATGTACCTCCACCAGGCTCACTAGAGAAGATATTGTAATTGTCTGACCTTAATTTATACTCTATAACTTTCAATATTATTTTCTTTTTTTAGAAACATGAAAACTGCTATAACAGGATGTATGAAAAAAAAAAAGACTTTTAATTTAATAATGACAAAATAATCGTAACTTCAACAAAGAAGCATTCGAAATGACGCCATGATCATGATTTGATTTGAAAGCTTTTTTTTCGAGATGAGAAGGGTCTTTAAACATTGCCTTTTTTACAAAATTCTATGTTTTGGGTTTTCGTATCCCGATTGCAACCGAAACCATTTGAAAAACTTAATTGGTAGAAAGTCATGTAAATTTCATCACATTTAGTCAAGTAGTTACTGAGCGGATGAAATTGCACATACATGTGTACGACAGACGGACGAATAGCCATCGGGCCAATAAGCTCACAGAGATTTTAAAAGTCTAATGTAAACATTCATACATTTTACCTAGTATAATTTTTAGAAAATATCGAAGTCTAAACTGTAACCGAAATCTGGGTATAAACTGTAACAAAATCGGATACAAATCGCTAGGTCTATGCTGTAACCCTGCACAAATTACCTCGCTCTATACTGTAACATTGTTTATTTTTTTCAAACGCATTTTACCTAAAGGAAAATAGGTTCAACTGGTCATTTACTTTTATAAACGTTTCCTAACATAAAGGACTAACATTTTGCAGATTTACTTTTTTCTAGGCATGCATAAATAATGTCGAAATTGCAGAAAAATGCGTTGGTCTCTCGATTCAAATTTTCAAACCATCAAATCTGCATATTTATGAGACAATATAGAGATAAATCTGCGGTGAAGGGTCTGAAGAAATATATGACTAGATACCGGATCCTGTTCCTTACAATTAAGCAAAATAACATCTTTTAGAAACTAAACTACTTGTAGTATGGACCTGGATAAAAATCACCTACCTCTCTTCCCATAAATAATCCTCCATCTTGAAAATTCTATACTGTAACCGAAACACGCGATACTGTAACACGTTCCCTACGGTGGTGTCGTCCGCAGCCGATAATGAACAACCATGGTCAAAGTATTTTTTTCATAAATATCCCAAGCGAGAGGATTATAATCAACAATTATGGAACTCCTCGGACGTGAGAGGTGCTCAGTTTATAATACGAGATATGATGCTCAGAGTGTGAGTGGTATTTAGATCTGAATTGTGATCAGTTTGTAACTGTCACCGATGTACAGTCTTCACCTCCTCGACGTCGATGACTACCTCGTGGATATTGTCGAGTAACCCCGTTGAAGTTGAAGTCATGATTCGAGTTTATGATCAGTGAGTAATTTTCCTGGTAAATGTTGTGTTCAGTGAGTAATGTTCCTGGTTAATGTTGTGTTCAGTGAGAAATGTTTGTAGTTAATGTTGTGTTCAGTGAGTAATGATCATGGTAAATGTTGTGTTCATTGAGTAATGTTCATGGTAAATGTTGCGTTCAGTGAGTAATGTTCCGCGTAAATGTTGTGTTCATTGAGTAATGTTCCTGGTAAATGTTGTGTTCAGTGAGTAATGTTCCTGGTAAATGTTGTGTTCAGTGAGTAATGTTCCTGGTAAATGTGGTGTTCAGTGAGTAATGTTCCTGGTAAATGTTGTGTTCAGTGAGTAATGTTCCTGGTAAATGTTGTGTTCAGTGAGTAATGTTCCTGGTAAATGTTGTGTTCAGTGAGTAATGTTCCTGGTAAATGTTGTGTTCAGTGAATAATGTTCCTGGTAAATGTTGTGTTCAGTGAGTAATGTTCCTGGTAAATGTGGTGTTCAGTGAGTAATGTTCCTGGTAAATGTTGTGTTCAGTGAGTAATGTTCCTGGTAAATGCTGTTTTCAGTGAGTAATGTTCCTGGTAAATGCTGTGTACATTGAGTAATGTTCCTGGTAAATGTTGTGTTCAGTGAGTAATTTTCCCCAAAAATGGTGTTTACAAATGTTAAATTAAATCTTTTAAAGGGAGGGGATTGTTTCCATGTTATTTGCTCGAGGGCAATGTGTACCTTTTACCGGATATTTGAACATTTTATATGTAAATGTATTTGTAAAGAATATTTGAATGTTCTCTTTATATGGCTTAGCTTATCCGTTGGAAATGCCATCAATTTGGCGTGTATATTAAAGTATAAGAAAGCAACAATCGGTATGTACCTTTTATTTAAAATTGTAACATTTTGTATGAAGATCTATTTATAAAGAATATTCTAATGTTCATTTTATGGTTTAAGCTTCCAAACTCGGATGTAATCAACTTGCATAGCGGCATCTTCTCCGTTATTTTTGTCCGCGTTCCATGTTGGGTACCATTGACCACGTGCGTTCCAGAAATCACGTGCTGTGAATTCAGATTTATCTTGCCATGGTTTTCCCGTAGGACTGACGAATTTATCGGGGAAAAAACCCGTTCCTCCTATAGCCACATTCATGATAAGGAAAAACTGAAACATACCAAATAATGGGGATATTTATGTTTATGAAAGTGGAATCAGTTTTTTACAAGCGTATGCTATATTGAATAAATAAAAGCAAAAACATTTTAGTATTAGATCTAATAGTGAATAATACATGAAATATCATTTAAATCCTGGAAACCAAACCTCACACATCACTTTAGCAGAGAGCAGACAAATTTAATTGTAAATGGGACGTTTATAAATAAACTTTGACGGTATAGAAGTGGATGAGAAATTGCCTTGTGTTGAAATGCTTTCCGGTTTTGATGTACCAATCGGAACGTCCTCTGCTATTATTCATATTCGAAGACTGACGGAAAGGGCCGAAAAGTTGCGACTGATACATGCAGTACTGATAAGGAGAATCGAGAGTTTAGCATTTATTTTACCTCTTGATCAAAGGGAGCCATTTTGGTTCCAGCAGCCCATGGATTTTCTACACCATCTTTATCGAGCTCTCCGAATTGCCACATGTTTGTCTGTGGTGTCACATTCAACACTTCTGTATCGTCGATTGAAATACTAAAAATATAGAAAAGATATCAAAACAATGAAAACAGAGTGTGTGAAATATGAATTCTTTAAAAAGAGCTGATTAAAAGAAGATTTAGCCCTGGGACTGTTATAGAGAACACTGACGATTTAGTTTTCAAAACTTGCAAACTTTACGACACACTCACCATATTGTCCACAACCAAAGATGACACAAAAAGAACGTACATAGCAATGGTTTTAATAATTCATTAAAGCAGCAAGCATCCAGATTCATGCTAATTTTCATGAAAATTTTGAAAATGTATTTGAATGTGTAATATTGTGAAGTAACCAAAAGGAAGCAGTTTACACATTATCGATGGCACTTACAACCACGTAAATTACAAAAAAGGTCAACATATGCATAAATAGCCTTAACTACGTTAGTAACGCAGTAGGAATATAGTTGTTAACATTGAAAACATCAGTCATTAATCGCACATAATGTGTAAAATATTACTTGAATATTAAAACTTTTACTTTTCCATACATCTTAGTACATTTTTTAAGTTTGATTTTATTGAAATATTTTGACTAATCTGGAGGCATGCAGCTTTAATGACATAGAAAAAAACAAACGGATATAACGTGTGCAAGTAATTCTGTTCATATAGTTTATAATTGTAATACAACAAGTTTTTAAAGAACAGAATGTATTTAGATAAGATTTTAATAGTCTCTTTGAAGAAAAAACAATTCTTTTTTTACATATACCTGATATGATCCTCGTCCCAGATAAGAACGTACTTGTGGAAGGAATCTCCGTAGTTTCCTGACGATGCCAGTCTGTAAAAGTCATAAGGTAAATATTCTATTATTTAAACTAACAAACTAACAACTAGTAACTATCTTACTAACCAACTAACCAACCAACTAACTAATTAATACTAGTAACTAATTTACTAACTAATCAACCAACTAACCAACCAACGGACTAACTACTAGTAACTAACAAATCAATCAATCGACCAACTAACTAACCAAACAAGTAACTTACTAACTTAGTAACCAAACAACCAACCAACTAACTTACTAACCAACCAACCAACTAACTATCTAATACTAGTAACTAATTTACTAACAAATCAACCAACTAACCAACCAACCAACTAACTACTAGTAACTAACAAATCAATCAATCAACCAACTAACTAACTAACTAACCAACCAAGTAACATACTAACTTAGTAACGAAACAACCAACCAACTAACTACTAGTAACTAACCAACCAACCAACCAACTTACTAACTAATTAACTAACTAACTAGCAAACAAACAAACGAAAAAACAAAACACAATCAAGTCTGCAAGTCATCAAGCAAGTAAAAATTGAGAAAATAACATTATATGAACAACCAAATGCAAAGTAATGGAAATGACTTTACAAAAGCATGCGTCTATTTTCCACCTAATTTCAGTATTTTAAAAAGAAAAAATATATTATTGTATGTCCAGAGCAACCGCAAGCAACTCTAATGTTATCTATAGGGGGTCGACATATGCAAGAAGAGCTCTGATATACTCCGTAAGAAAATTAAAACTAGAAAAAATGTCACTTCTCGGAAGCATTAATTAGTCACAACAAAATAACATGAAAATTGCAGACTCGGTTTGCTTGAGTCTGAACATAGTAGAATATTTGAATATAAAGTAAAGGAAAACAATGCACGGAGTATAGGTATCAATATAATATTATACATTTCTAAATCAATTATCATATGAGCCGCGTCACGACAAAACCATAATATTGCGTTTGCGACCAGCATGGATCCAGACCAGCCTGCGCATCCGCGCAGTCTGATCAGGATCCATACTGTTCGCTTACAAACCCTATAACAAGTAGTGAAACTGATAGCGAACAGCATGGATCCTGATCAGAATGCGCGGATGCGCAGGCTAGTCTGGATCCATGCTGGTCGCAAACGCAATATTATGGTTTTGTCTGGATCCATGCTGCTCGCAAACCCATTATGTTGGGTTTGTCGTGACGCAGCTCATATTATTAGTTATTCAAGTTGCTAGGGGGGGGGGGGGGGGGGGGGGGGGGCATGGCCTGAATAAGAAAGATACGACGCCAGGAGAAGAGTTGCTTTTTAAAGGAGAAAACAAGGATTGATGTTTGCAAGCATTAATTTACACCCAATGTCAATAAAAATGCACAAAATTGTTTACAAATATATGCGGCCTTGTCACTACATTATTCATGATTGTCATAAGGGTATTGCATGTATTTTTCACTAAAGATAATTATTTAATAACATAAATCA